AAAAAAAAAAAAAAAAAAAAAAAAAAAAAAAAAAAAAAAAAAAAAAAACGTCTTGCCGACGTTAATTTGAGCGAAAAGTTACCTCTGTACAAGATATTATATAAATCAAACGCTAAATAAAAACTTTCAAACAGATCGGCTCCAAGACCCCTGCCTGGAAGAAAAAGTGTACCCAACGTCAGTTTAGCAAAGAGTTATCTATGTACCAACTTTCATGAAAGCCGAGCAATTTAAAATTAATTTGGAATTTTTCGAATAGATCAGTCCCAAGTCCACATCTTTCTTGATGGTTATATATTTATATTATTATTATAATTCCATTTGATATCTCGTACTCAAAAACTGATTAATTTAAACTTCATCCTCTTGCAGTTCATACTCACGTGCCTCATTTTGGGCATACAAATCCAACAGTCACACCAACAACAAGACTATACAACACCAGTGCCAATATTGAAACAGATCGATCGACACAACGACGATGGCTCGTATACGTACGGCTACGAAGCGGCAGATAAAAGTTTCAAAATTGAAACGAAATATCCGAACGGTGAAGTATTTGGCAAATATGGCTATTTAGATGATCAGGGAAAATTGCGTGAGATCGAGTATGGCGCGAGTAAGCGTGGCTTTGAACCTGCTGGTGCGTTGAAATTTTAATTATACATATATATATAATTTGTTTTTGTTTTTCATATTTCTCATTCATATGCACACACTCCTCTTCCAGGCAGCGACATTAATGTGCCACCGCCAACACTCACCAACAGCAATCCCTATCCACTTGGGCCGAACGAGGTCGACGATGGTCAATATCGTGAAGATCCCGCTGTCTATTATCGCGATCAAAAGTTTAATCGCCCACCAGTGGCGGCCAGCAAATTCAGTTTAGATAACTTACATCAACCACAGAGGCCGCAATACTACAATAATCCACCACCACCACCGCCGCCACCACAACAGCCGCGCTATCAACAGTTCGGCTTCCAACATCAGCCACCACAATTCCGTCAGCCACCGCCGCCACCACAGCCACGCTACCAACCGCAATATCAACCACAGTACCAGCCACCTACGTACCAACAACGCTCCTACCAGCCTCAGCCGCCACAAAATCCATGGAGCAGCTTGCCGCAACATCATCATCCAGCGCTGAAAAATCTCGATATTTGGAGCGGTTCGTACAGCATTGATTACACAGGTCGGCGCAAGTAGAAGTAGAATTGTGGCATGGCATGTGTACGTGCTAGAATGTGTGTGGCTTGATCTTGTGGAGAAGTCAAGGCAGTCCAAAATGGGGGTTCCGTTGTATCTTGTGAAACAGAACGATCTGCGGTGTGAGCGTTGAGATCATCGTCATCAAAATAAAGACTTGTACTGATTTCGCTATGAGAATATTAATCAGTTACTAAGATATTTCTTTACTTTACTTGTATATATTTGTGTGTAATATGTGTATATTAAAAAACGCCGATTAGTGAAGGCGAACGAGTCGAAATATTTGTATGTATATTTATCTATCTCTTTTAAGGTTATGTTATTGCAGATTTAGGGTTTTAAATTTTATGTGAAGATATTTTTTTAGATGGAAAAGCAGAATTATTTTTTTTTAGATGCGAATAATTTTATATATTTATACAAATATATCACTGCAATAAATCTAATTAAGTGTCCGATGAAATCTTAAATATCATAAAAAGTTTTTGTTGTACTTATTTAAAAAACGTTTTCAAGTGCAGAGATCTGTTGAGTAGAGTCAGATTTCAGGTTTCTGTTCTATTACTAGGTCCCACTTGGGGAATTTCTTTACTTGCTATTTGGGCACTTTAAACACATTCTCTTCATTAGCATCCACTTGAATTGTGTGATGCCACGTATACCATTCTTGAACGGCTATCATTCGACCGGCAACTGGAGAAAATTTTAAACTCAAACACGAATACACAAAGATAACTTATCTGATTTATTTGAACGTTGAAATATATGAGATTGCTTCATTCAAAGTCTTGTGGAAGCAGCACAGAGATGCTTCCTCTGTATCAATCGGAGAGAGACCAGTCAGAATCACTATAAAACGGAGTTTCGTTTCGGTTTGCGGGCCTGGGCTTGACCGGCTGAATTTTGTGCCCTTAACTGTGTCACCATTGCCCGGATCTTATTCCGAACTCTTGTTTTTCAGTAAACGAAACCTGGTAAAGCTTGGTAGGATATTAAGGATGTATGGACCCAACCCTGTCAGTGCTTGGATATTTTTTAGAACTCCTACAACTGCCTCTCACCACTTGTCTTCACATTTGCACGGCGTGTTTTACTATTGAGTCTTGCCTTGTATATCAGCAAGTACTACCAGAACAAGGACTGTTTAGAGTTGTAATTCTAATACGCTTTGATTTCGAAGGGAGGCATATTAGGAAATGAACATAAAAGGTCTATCAGGTTGGAGCGGCCGCAATAGCCGAGTGGTTGCATACTGCCATTCAGAGGGCCAGGATTCGAGTCCATCCAAATCCAAAATCATTGAAAACACATCTTTCTAACTACGGTCGCTCCTCGGCTGGAAATAGCCATCCCTCCTGGTGGCTTCATTTGTTATAAAATATTAAAACGAATATTACTAATTGAAGGAGGAGCTCGGCCAAAAATCGTTTCATGCTACATTCCGATGGCCCTGGCAAAGGAAAGAAAATCATCAAACAAACGTGTCCGATGGAATTCGAATGTAAGATTCCATACCATCGCAAAATTAGGTTTATTAACCGGAATCATCAGTTGGTCGACAGTTTTCACTAACCATGAAAGGAAAACTATCGGATGATTTGTCAGTGACGAATTTTAAAAGTTAGATCATATTATCCAACTGGGTCGATGTGTGACCTTTCAGATTATTGCCAGAACTGATCTATCCTTTTGTACTAGTTTGTCAAAGGGCTTTCAGTTTTCAAGTCATCAAATTTCGTAAAGTCAATTAGTGCGATTTGTAATAGCAACGATATATTTTCCAATAAATTAAAGACACTAAAAGAAAATATAGTGTTTTTTCTGACTTCTTCCTCCTCTTCTTCTGCTTTATTGGCGTATACACCGCACCAGTTGGAAAACTTTCAAAGCTGAAGCATTCTTATCCACCCGCACCACATGACCTAGCCAGCGCAGACGCTGTTTTATGATTCCCTGTGCTATGTCAATGTCGCCGTAAATCTCGTACTGCTTATGGCTCCATTGGCTGCGGTATTCGCCGTTCGAAATTCGTAGAGGACCATAAATCTAACAGGAAACTTTTCGCTAGACCGCCAACTTATCAGGTGCTGTTACGGTCCATGCCACCGCACCATATATGTAGCAGAACGGGTACGATAAACGACTTGTAGAGTTTGGTTTTCGTTCATCGACGGAGGCAAAAGAGAAATTCTGTGTTGGATTTCAATGTTGACATTGTTGATCATGTTAACACCGCAGTGTTTCCAGTTGACGTAATGTTGTTAACTCGGTAGATTATTTTTTTTTGCTGCCGAAGGCTGCTTTGATATGGACGAAGATATGATGTGTGTCGATATTCTTTTCTCGGGTATTTTCCAAAATTTTGCGCATGCTCAATACCTGTTCAGTAATGGATTAAGTAGATCCAAGCCACAATAATAAGGTCCAATTGGTTTGTTGATGGGAATTTAAGCACATCACACAATAAGGTCGATAGGTTCTTATATCCAACAGCTGAGAGGCTTATCCAATGGAAACTGGCGCGGACTGTTCGATCGCCTTTTCTATGGATTGCATAGAACACATTTTTCTTATGTCAAAAAGTCGAAATTCAAGACATAAGGTAGAGAACCGTTGGTCCCTACTTTATCTTTATCCCGTAGTAATCTCACCAGAAAGAGAAAAGAGAGCGGGAGAGGGCTTTCAATGCAATGGGTTTATAGTGCAAATATACATATACAGTTCAATATGTAGAAAATTTCATCATAACAATCAGAGAATTCCTGTCCACCTAAGAACAATTGATTGCGCTCTTGCCAAATGATTATGAAACCGAAATTCAATTGCATCGCATACAATAAATTTCAAGAGTGGGTGTGGAATATAAGCGCAGAAATGTTAAATAAACTAAAGTGAGGGTCGCCTACACAAAAGTGACGGTGGATTAAAGGAATAGATAATCGAATTATAAAAGCTTCCATGTAAGAGTACATATTGTACATACATACATAAATAAGTAAAACAGTTTGCTCGCCAAAGAATTGAGCGATTTTTGTGCACAATTATACAGCTAACCTATGAAGGAGACGGACGAGGAGGAGGAGCGAAGGAGTGAAACGTGAGTTAAGCCAATCGATTGACCAAATAAATAAGTAACCAACAAACGGGGCCACTGAGTAAAGCAACCGTGCAGCCAACACCCAAATATATACATATGTACACATACGAGGGGCGGCTGATAAGCTCATGACATAGTTATAGATGACACATCATCCCTTTGCTGATAAGACTAATGGCGGGACTCATTATTAATATGGAGGTTTCTGGAATAAAAAACAACAATACGTTTATGTCAGCGGAAACTGGAAATTATCGCACCGCGTGATTGAATTCCTTGTAAAAATGGAATTACAAAAAAGATTTTTTAAAGAGATGTCATCGGTTCTTAAGAACTGTGCCCCTTCAGATATATATATATATATATATTATTTTTACAAAGAATATATATATATACGTGTATATAATTGGCGCTGAAGCGATTTTTCGGCCGAGATCCTGTTCCAATTTGTAGTTTTGCATCTCGATGTTTTTTCAACAGTTTATGCTAAGCCGCTTCCGATCGGCCATCATTTCACGTCAATAATATGGTGGGGTTATCATTCCCTGTCGAGGGCCGACCGCTTGATTTTTAAATTAATTTTTTGTATCTTTTGGATGTTGGTCGTAGCAGGATTTGAACCCTGATCTTCACTCCTACTATATATATACGACGGTGAAAAGAAAGGAGATACCTGTAAAAATGGCCCCCACCCGTGGCTCAGAGTGATGGTCGTGACCGAAGAAAATGTTCAAAACGTCGAAAAATTAGCACTGACTAAACGAAGAATTAAAATGCGGCAGAAAGCAGAAGGATTACGGTTTGGCAAAAATGAGCTTGAGAAATTTTTCATGAACCTATTGGAGAGCTGCATAGAGTTTTTGGAGTTTTGTCAAGATGATTTGGATGACATTCACAAAAGCATTAACAGTTGATGTAAATTGGATACGTCAGTATGATCCCGAGTCCAAAAAAGAGTCGATGCAGTGGATATAAAAGGGGAAAGGCTCCCAGATTAAAGTGGAGAAGTCGGGGTAGAAGGTTATGGCTACCATTTTCTGGGATATAGTGGGAATATTATTAATTGATTACTTGCCAAGGGTATCTACAATGAATGGCCAGCATTACGATAATTTGCTGAGTGAGGCGTGGTAGTCGTACAGAAGAAACGTGACAAGTTGGCGCGTGGAATGCTGATACCTTAAAAGCTACTGGATTTACAGAAATTAAGCAACCGCATTATATATAAATATATATACATATAATTGGCGATTTGTTACCGCTGTAGCAATTTTCCACCGATTTGTGGTTTTGCGTCTTTAGGTTTTTCCAACAAATGGATGGACCTACAATTTATACTAAGCCGCCTCCGAACGACTGGTGGTTCTTTTATGAGCAGATTTATTCCATATCAGAAATACACTCGGGCGGATTGACATTCCCTGCCGACGGGCGACCGCAATTAGAAATATTAGTTTAATTTTTTATTTTAAATAAATTTTCTAAGACTTTTTTGGATGTTGGCTGCACGGGTATTTGCACCCTAACCTGCCGAACGGCACTACGCGATGCTAAGTACTCGACCACCGCAGCCGGGTGACTATATTGGTAAATAAAAAAAACATAAAACAGCGAACTTATCAGCCGCCCCTTGGATGTGTATGCTCATATTGAATATTCTGACTGTCTTTACAAGTGCATGTACTCGTACATATATATCTATATATATATATATATATATATATATATATATATATATGTTTGGATGTTTGTCCGACAAGGTGATTTGCTGATTGTATTTATTTTGAAAGGTGGACTTTTGTGGCGCGTACACACCGTATTGCATAAGTGCGCAAGTCCGACTAAAAAAAAATAAATAAAAAAAAAAATTTAAATACTAAACAGAGCATTATTTGCATCGTCACCTAGCCGGTGCGCGCCTGGACAACTAACCGCTATCTCCGTCCAACAAACCTGTAAGTTCACCCGCCTGTTTGCCAGTCACCGATCAAAGATCCAGTTCAACGGCTTTACTTATTTATCAGTGCATTTTTACTACGAATGCAATTCGTTTTAGTTTACAATAATCGAAATGTACGAGGTATTAAAAAATTAACAAACCACATGCACAAATATATACACACATACATACATTTACACATACATATGTATGTATATATGTATATTTGTTAGTATGTCTGCAAGTAAAACTACTCACAGTCATTGGTTCCTTTTCATAGTTTAAATTATTCAACTTTAAGTTTCTTGCAACGCCACACCGTTAGAGCTCGCAAGGCGTACAGCGGTACAGAAATTCCTATGCCAGCGCCCCTGCGCGAGTACTTCGAGTACTTGGGTAATTACTATCTATACAAAGCAAATTGTACTCGTTGCTTTAATTTGGT